GTAAATAGTGTAAAAACTGTTAATTTAAACTTTTCTTCAAAAATCAGAATATACACTAATATTCTCTTTATATACGATTGAATAATCATAAGTCTATTTTACACAACCTCAGAAATGATTTGGATTGTTTTGGTTAAGTTGTTTTATAATCCTTATTATCCAATTGGGCCATGAAATTTAACTTTACTACTACGTTTTTCAGTTTTACTGTGCGCATAATATTGGATACATGAATGACCAGGAACAGTGTGACCAGGAACAGTGTATTTTTTTTTTTTTTTTTTTTTTTTTTTTTTTTTTTTTTGTTACAACACAAGTATCTGTATATATTTCAATAAAACAAAATTACATATTTTTACATATAAGTACAAAACGTACAATTAAACAATTTTTGTACCATTAAAATTTTTACAAGACAAAAGAAATTCAAAATTCTGTTTAGCGCCTGCGCGTTGTACAGTGTACAAAATAAGGTAACTTTTCGTTGTTTATAATATAAAGTGCTGGTTATTAACCCATGCATTTAAAAAATATATGCAAGTCCGTCGTACCACAGGGCTACTAGGGACTTGCTTGTGGACGTTGTTGAATATATATATATATAAAATTATTCTTAAAAAATATTTTTCTTTGTTGTAAGGAAACTCGCAGAAAACTAAAATAGTCTTTTCATCGAGAACCTTTAAAACATAAAATAAACTTTAATGAACTAGTTCAACAAATACACATAAGTATTTTGGTATCTACTATATAGTAGAAGTAGTAGGGCTTTTTATTATTACTATTTTTCCTAAATTGTTTAATACATTTCGATGAAGTTGGTTAAGTTGATTATGATATTTTTTAGTTTTTTTTTCAGAGCAATAAGGTTATCCATTTTATTAAGTTCCATATTTTGAAGTATTATTTTGTTATGTAAGTATGGGCCACGGTATATTAAAGAAAATCGCGAGAACTTTGTTTTTTTGTTTCAGCGATTCAGTTAATGTTAGGAATAAATGATTTAACATTTTTAGTGAAGTTAATGCTCTCTTTTAAATAACGTAATGCAGCATTTTATTATACTTTTCCAATTTTGAGCAACGCAGAAGTCGGGTCAAGCAACCAGCTTGCACAGTTTCCTCTACCATAAAACCCAATATTTTGCAAAAAGTTTTGGCAATATCATACCCAGCTTCTCCTGCCATTTATTCATCCATAATGCACAGTAGACTTATAAAGTTGTCGAATTATGTAATTATACGCTAATTACAATGTTATATATGTATAATTATGCGTATAACTAACGTATTATATACGCTAATTATACACACTCAATTTTCTCAGATAAAAAAGTGATTTAAAAAAAAAACTATTTTCTGCATGCGGAGTCAAAATTATATTTTAAAGGTCAAAAAGTAAAATCGGAATATTTTTTAAGTTAAATTACGTAACATTATAAAAGAGATTTTGAAATTGATAAACAAGTATTAGCGTTGTATTTTTGTTAACGTCGAGGTAAAATTAAAAATTTTATAAATATCAACGTCAATCTAACATTTTGTTAACATTGACGTTAAATTAAACCACTTTTCGTCATTTTTCACACCTGATTTTTTATGCTTTTAATTGATTTTGAATCAGCATAATATTCATTATTGTATTCAATAATAAAAAAGGTAAATTGAAACAGCTAAAAAGCTGACAACAATTTACGTAGAATTTTGTCAAATTAATTATTTGTAAATTAAAGCTCCAGGTGAAAATAGTAAATTTACGTTGGATTGCTGTATGATTCAATATTGCTTATCTTAATTTAAATAATCCAATAAAGTCTAATAATCTCAATTTGGCTAAAAAAATGTTAATTAGAACCTTGTCAAATCAAGACTTCAAAATATTGCATCAATAAAAATAATGTAAAAAATATAAAAGTAATGGTCACAATAATGCTTCACCGTTTAGTTTTGCAAATCAAAAGAGAGAAGAAAAAAAAAAAAAAAAAACAGAGTTTTTAATATTAAATGAAAATTCGTTGTCAGTTATGTGCAGTTTTAAAAGATATAAGAATATAAGTTAAATAAAAAAGGTTTTACTATTAGTTTTGGGGAGTGGATTTTATTAAGAAACCGTCAATACATTAGCATGAGTCTTTATTCGGAAATTATGGAATTTAGATCTTCGGATCTATAGATGTTTTTTGCGAGAGTTCCTATGTGTTTCCCTCGTATTATTATTTACTTTTGTGAAAAATGTAAAATCGCTAATCACAAGAACATTTCATCGTTTAGTTCTATTGCAAAAAAAAACTGTTTTTTAAACCATACAAAAAAATTGTTCCATTGTTTATTTTGTATGGAGAAATTAGTCAAAGACACAAGTAAATTAAAAAAGTTTGCACTCTATATGCACTCAAAACCAATCCCACTATTAGAAAAATTAAAATGGGAGTTTATTCATTCATTTCTCAATGAATGAGTTAGTGGCAGTACTAAGTGAATAATCTTTATGCTTTTCTATTAAATCATTGTAGAAATGGTGTGGGAAGAGAGGGAGGGGAGGAAGGAATATAAATATAAAAAACGTCACGTTGAAGATTGCACACAAAAGTCATCTGAAGCAATGGAGTTCTCAATACAGTTGGTTTCAGTAATCTTATAAATCATAAAGAATATCTTGGAGATAAAACGAATATCTAGGAGTTAAAACAAATATCTTGGAGATCTTTATAAAAAGAAGTTTTAAACTTAGAATACTATAAGGTACAGGTATTACATATATTTAACTGGAATTTTTCCTTTTCTGGAAAGTACATATATGTAAACAAACAAACAGTTTCTCTAATGAAAAACTTAATTGTGCACAATTATAAAAATACCTCAACACCATTTGGTGAAAATGGCAAATTGAAAGAAATACCCTTAAAATTATTATCAAACATTTATGGAGGTATTTGTGTTAAATATAAACACCTACTTTATTATCAATATATTTTTTGATATGGAAAACAATTTTTACATTCTGTTCTTTATTATAAATTTAAACTTAATATAAAAGTAACTTTTTTGATTATATAGAAACCACCTGAAGAATATACTTTTAATTTATAAAAGATATTTTCAAAATTATTTTTTGAAAATATCTTTTGTAAATTTTTTATTTTGTCTTTTCCAGAATCGTAATTTTTAGTGTCATTCATTGATATTGATTAATCATATGATTAGATCTTCATTTGATCTATTAGGTCCGCAACTAAAGATTAAAGTCCACCAACTTCACCATTCAAACGCTAATCAATGACACAAAACTTTCTCTATATAAAATGCGTAATATTAGGCAATTAGTAAATATAAAGTAAAAAGTTATGAAAAACTACAATAAACATAGGAGCGAAATAACCTCGCAAATGTTAGTCGTACCATATAAAAAAATATAATTTAAACATACGTGACGACATATTCTTTGTCTCTCTAATTATTAAGGTGCTCCATAAAAACCTGAAGGAGAACCGTGGGAAAAAAGTTCCTGACACGTGTTGCATTTATGAACTTATGTCGCTTATATGACAAGAGAAAGCATTGAACCTTGGACCTCTTTATTGAAAAGCCAGGGCAATAACTATTGCACCACGGCCGCTATAATGTCGCAGTATTATGTAAATATTATTGTCATGACAAGCTATTGGTTTATATAATATTTTATAATATAATATGAATATATATAAGTAAAGCTTATATGAAACTGCTATATTATAATAATATTTTATAATACTTTGTAGCATTAATATTTAGTAATGTAATACCAATTTATATAAGCTTAACTTAAATAAATTGGTATTATACTATTAAGTGTTTCACAAACCAATTTTTTTTAAAGTTTAATAGTGTTATGATTAATATTAACTTAAAATTTTTATAGATATTATTAATTTAAAATAAATTAAAAAAAAAAAGTCACATCTAACAAAATCAATTAAATTATCTAATCTATTGCAAAAAATCTAATTCCAAAGCGTTAGTCATTGACGCTTAAAATTTTCAGCTTTTATACTTGCATTACTGTTTTCAATTAATTTTCGAGGTAAGGTTAGTTTGTAACTTTCAATTAATTTCCGAGGTAACGTTAGTTTTATTCTTATTTTAAAAAAAATAATAATAATAACGCGCCGAAACAATGTGCTCACTTTAGATTAGTCATATTTCGTCTGCTTAAATACAACTCTCGCCAAAACGCGACGTGTTTTTGGCGAGAGTTACTATGATTTTACTGTCTAAGTAAAAAAGATTTATAAATTCCGTACACGTTTTTAACACTTTTATTTAATAAACATAAAACTGATAAGTAATAAATATCGGTAATAAAACAAGCAACAAACCAATAAATATGAAAACTTATTAAGAGTTGTATTGCAAATAGCTTTGAATAAAAATAGCATTGCATTTATATTAAAGAAAAAAATGATTTGCATCCAAACGAGGTTGAACATGATAACTCCTTAACACTATGGCTGTAATCTGTTTAACGATTTTTGATGTTATCCGAATATATAAGTATAACAAAAAAAAAATGATAATGATGATAATGAATGAAATTATTAATGAAAATAAAAATTAAGTCATTTAGGCTCGAATATAAATTTGTGTTTAAAAACATTACAAAACATTAGAAGCAAAATTATATTAAACAAGAGAAGCAACGCAAACAATAAAAAACTCATCACGTCAACTTTAGCGGATGGCAACTGATATTACAAAATGGATACAATATACTAAACTGTTGTTATAGAAACATCTTGAATATAAAAAATAAAGTGTTTCATATAATAGAAATTTATATTTTTGTTAACTCTGGTATTTACATATTTACAAAAAAGATATTTCTTTTTATAAAAAAGAAAGTTACAAAACAAGGAAAATTAACGCCCTTGCATACCTTGCAAGGAAAATTAACGCCCTTGCATACCGCCGTTGCAAGGCAACGCGCTCTTTATCGGTGGACGGTGTAAAACTTCAAGTCTGGGGTTTTGGAAAAATGTTTAATAAATGTTACATTTCTTTTTACATATGAAAAGAAAAATTGGGACGAGTTATATTTGATCTCATTTCAAGTGGCCTCATATCACCTGAGACTTGAGTGTATGGAAACATGCTTTCGTGAGTTCCATAGCCTCCATTCATTCGATAATACCACGAGTCCGGTGAAAATGGAGCTGGGCTATGGGAATTATTAGAAAATGAACTAAGGTGCGGTGCAACGTGATTAGAATATGGTTTACTGTAATCTGACCACGTATTTAGATTTCCGGTTTGACTAAGGTTTGGTGTAGGAGTCATTTGTCCACCATTTGCTTTAATAATTTTCTTAAATTTTGAACGTTTATTTTGAAACCATATTTTAATTTGAGTTTGAGTGAGTCCCAATCCATGGGCTAATTCAGCACGTTCTGGAAGCGAAAGATAATGTGTACGTTCAAAAGAACGATTTAATTCTCGGAGCTGATGACTCGTGAAAATTGTACGAGGTTTACGTGGAAGTTTGCTGCCTTTTGTTTTTCCCGTTAAATCTAAAATAAAAGAGAAATAATTAAAATGTGAACAAATGAGCTTTTTTACTTTTGTTTTGAACAATTCTAATTTGGTTTTAATATCGAATTTATTTGATTTCCTACCGCGTTATTGTTAACTAAATATAAAAATTATTTATAATTCTGCAACTTTTTTGCCTCGATATATATATATATATATATATATATATATATATATATATATATATATATATATATATATATATATATATATATATATATATATATATATATATATATGACGTATGTTTAAGTAAATGACGTATGTTATGTTTTATGAATGATGTTAAAATATGGTGGCATTATTATTTTAATAAATTAATAACTATATAATAAAAACTACCTTCATCGTCATCTTCACCTTCACTGTCGTTTTTATCGTATGAACTTATTGAAGATTTTTCTAAGTTATTTGGCATATTCGACAATGACGGGTTCATTGACGTTAAGTTGCTTGCAAAATTACTTGTTGGAGTATGATCCTTTGAAAAAGTGTTGTAAGGAGAAGCTGAAAAGCTATCAATGCCAGTATATTGTTTTTGCGCAGTTGGAATCCTCGAAAAAGGGTATTGCAGCCCGGATGAGTTGTACTTTCCCTCCGTCTCGACTTTGTTGTTGTCTAATGGTGGCACGACGTTCTTTATATTCATGTCGTTATAATTTATTGAATAGCTATCACGATAATTTTCTGTACTTTTAATCGGAAAATTCATGTCGGGAAAAGGGTATTTGTCTATAATTAAACAATTTCAAAAAATTAATTTGTGTATCGAGCTTAACTATATTTACAAGCAATTGACTTTTTTTGACGAAATTAAACTAACCAACTTATGGTGATTGAATCCAATAAAAATGTCATTAAATCTAACCTTGCTATTTTATCGAGTGACAAACAAAGGAAAAAAAAAATTGATTTATGTAACGAGCGTAATCCGATTAGTTGATTGAGGAAATTATACATCACTCGCTTTAATATATTGATCGTTTGCAAACAAATTCAAAAACTCATTGAAGTTCTTGAACCGCCTCTAAAATAGGGCAAGGTTTTTAAGTTTTTTATGATTATGTTTATTTATCTTTTTTTTTTAAACATACAACTGACTCTTATCTGTTGCTAAAAACATTTTCATTTTTTGTTAATAAAATTGTTCAAGAAAACTTGTTTTTTGCAACCTAAATGCTCCAAAAAGTGTCAATGAGCTCTGAAAAGCAGTGTAGGTCGTTTGCTTTTAGTTTCAACGCCATAATTATAATCGCATTAAATCTAGGAACTGAGTTTACGCCTAATTTGGCAATAGACAACTACATCTCAAACTTTAATACATTCAATTAAAAAAAATATTTATTAAAATTAATGTCATATTCAAACAGCTTATAGAACCTTTTTTTAAAATGAGAAATTTCAACCACAAAATCAGAGGGTCACAAAATTTTGGCTTTAAAAAATAATAGAGATAATAAAAATAATGAATAAAAATAATAAACGAGAAACAACTTAACATCTTTTAGGTACACATAAAACAAGGAAAAAAAAATGCATAAAGAAAAAACGATAGCATATTTCAAATACTTAAACAATACGTTAGAATTGGGACAAAACCAAACAAAAAGACACAACCACACCAAAAAAGAGGAAAGAGATTATTTTTCACAAAGTAAAATCTTAAGCGTTCGTACCTGTTATAAATACAATGTTCATTGAAGCAATTTTCTATTTTTAAAACCGCTTAAACTAATTTAATTAAATTTAGCTTAATTATTAAGAAATTTTCCAGTAATAAAGTTTTTTTACAACAAATAATTATTGAAACAATTTGTAACAATATAAATAACTTTTACAATAATAACTTAAATTTTAAACAACCTAAATTATAAAATGCCATTGCAAAATCTTTTTATTAAAATTTTTTTTTATATGTTTAGGATTTATTTAGTTCACAAAAGTAAAAGAAACATTGCACAAAAAAATTTTTTTAGAAGTAGGAAAAAAATCATAATAATTTACAGACTTTTTAATTAATATGTAAAAAGTTTAAAATTTACTACTTCAAAGAGGGGGGAGGGGATGTTCAATGACAGTATTGATTTTCATCATTTGAATATTTATCGAAAAGTATGCCAAAAATTAATCCAATAACAAAATAAGTAAAAAAAATCTTCTATCTGATTATAGTTCAGCTAGTACACTATAAAACTTAAATATTCAATAAAAATCTAGCTATTGTCTAGATCTCCTTAAAATTGTTGAATTTCGGTTCACCCCGTTCAATTTTTATTGATATAGGAAAAACAGTATAATTACAGGTTATGAAAATAGCTAGAGATAAAGATCAAAGAAGAATGCCGGGATTAGTTTTTTGTCGTCATTCTTTTTTGCTGAGTTTTTAATAAAGCTTCCTGATTTGTGTTTGCTAAAGTTTATTTTTTGAATAAAAAGTTAACTTAGAAAAAACTTTTTCGTTTTTGTTTTTTTATTTTAAGTTTTTTTATTTTTAACTTGATTATTAGTGAGTTTTTTTTGTTTGTTTTGAGACACAAAATGTAAATAATAAAGATACATATAAAACTACATGTTTATATAAAAAGTGCATTTGTGTTCAGTTTTTCCGATATTGGAGATAAAGTATAAAAGGAGGCGTTTTATAATGGAACGTTAATATCTTCATAATAGCTAGAAAAAGATAAGTTTAAAGCGATATACAAAAGGCGATTACAATATTTTTTTTCTCGCTCATGTTTACTCTTTCATCTCGCTTATCAATTTCAAAATTTTATGTTTATTTTTAAATGTCAGATAAATAACTGAGAAATTTTAGTGAATTTTTAAATATCTAATAGTGAAATCCTTCTTATTTAAAAAAAAAAAATCAAAATTTTTTGTTTTATTTTGAAAAATTACTTTTAACAATATTCAAATAACTGATAAAAAATAAAAATAAACAACAATAGTAAAAAAATATTTTCAAATCGGTAATTAATTGCAGATAATTTTTAAATTTTCAGATTTTAGCATTTCTTAAATTACAAATCCTATAATTGTCTAATTGAAGCAAATATGGCAACATAACAGCAATAGAGTATATAACATGTAAATAATTATGTAAATAATTATAAATACAACATAAAGTAACAGCTATATATGTAACAACGCAAACTTTTTTGTATGTATTTTTATCTACGCTGAACTTTTTTTTAGCGGACTTTGTGTTTAAGAGAAAAATACTGGTTTGCAATATATAAAAAAAGTTTAATTTTTTTTGTTAATGATAAAAATGAATATATCCATACATAATGTTATATGATAGAAAGTGCAATGGTAGAATAAATGCTTGGTTAGTTGAATTGAAACTTTTACTTTGTTAGTGACAATCCTTGTTTCCTCCAAAAGCATTAAGAGTGCAATATATTCAATAAAAAATATCTTAAAAAAAAATGTATTTCTGCATGTATGTATGGATTTATTTATTTAAAACAAATTATCTTATAAGATAAGTTTGTTAAAAATAATTGAGGTAGTTAAAATATTTTTGTTATTTGATAATTGAAAATTTTATAGTTACAACGGTTACATATAGTTGTAATTATAAGAACTTATTAAATGGTTGAAATAAACGCTTCAAACAGGCTCTTGATAATTTTAGTCGCATACTAGAAAATATACTACAAAACTTATCATTTTAACCATCCATTAAGCTGCATACACATTCATACATACATACATACATACATACATACATACATACATACATACATACATACATACATACATACATACATACATACATACATACATACATACATACATACATACAATACATACATACATACATACATACATACATACATACATACATACATACATACATACATACATACATACATACATACATACATACATACATACATACATACATACATACATACATACATACATACATACATACATACATACAAACATACATACATACATACATACATACAAACATACATACATACATACATACATACATACATACATACATACTACATACATACATACATACATACATACATACATACATACATACATACATACATACATACATACATACATACATACATACATACATACATACATACATACATACATACATACATACATACATACATACATATATACAGGTACGCATATATGCGTTTATGAGGAATGTTAAAGAGTATTTCTAACCTTTAATTGTACTTTCAATCATTTCAGAAATAACTTCAGCAATCTTTGTTGTCTATTTAAAGACAATTGTCAAATTAGCGTTAATTTATATAGAAATTTTAAAGTCCCTAAAAAAAGACTGGTTATTGGCAGTGACGTAAAATGTTTAATTAAAAAGAAAAAGAGTCGATTCCAGTTTCCGACTAGACCTTGTACTTCCACCCATTCTTCATCCGTAAGAAATGATGCTTTTAGTTAATCGCCTTGGGCGTCTTATAATCCTTATGCTAAAGTGTTTTTTTATTAGTGTTAAGTAAAAAAAAAAATGAAATTTTTAATAATAAATATCATTTTAAAATTACCAATATCATCAAAATGTATAAATTTTAAAAATTCTGTTATGAATATAACAAAGTATAAAAAAATCTTTAATTGCATTAAGTTTTTGTGACGTGCAAAAAATTAGATTTATGAAATCCAAAATAAAAATTTTTATAAAAAACTCTGAAAGCTTTTAGCAAAAAAAAGCAAAAAAATAAAAATTGTTAAACCATCAATAAAAAACAAAAAAATAAAAAAACAAAAAATAGAAAGGAAAAAAAAAAAAAATCAAGAACAATTTGATTGGCTTGAAATGTTAGAGTTTTGCTGTTCTTTTTTAAAGTTCAATCAGCAGCCAATAATAATCTTAAAATACTTAACGTAATCTTCATCATTAAAATGTGCATAATTGTTTTACTGGATTATTTTCTGTTCTTTACTAGTGCTAATCTTTTTTCTCTATGAGTTTGATGACGTGTTTAAACCTAAACCATTTTTAAAATCTTGTAATCGAGTTCATTTGAATTTTTCCTTTTTCATAAAAAAAAGATCCTAAAACTACCGAACAAAGCTTATTAATAATCTCAAATTGCTAATTTGTAAAGCATAGTATTAAAATTTTTAAAATGCTCTTCATCGTTAAACGTGCGCGTTTTGTCTTTCCTAAATATAACCAGATGCATATAAGATATACACATACGCACATTCAAGGACGTGTTAATAAATATGCAATTATATTTTTGTAATTTCGTTGTCACTGACAAAGTACTTTAAAGGTTTTATATACCTAACTCGTACCCGACACCGACATGAGTTCAAATTTATAAAATGCGTCGGTTTAAAGGCCGGTGCCGGCTGATTATCTTTATATAAGTTTTGAAATTCTTCAAAAGTTCTCGTTTATAAATGATAATAAGAATTGATAGCGGAATAGACAATCCTAAATATTTTTACTTCTCGCTAACTTCTTCTAATTGTTTAAAAGGACAAAACTATGTTTGAAAGAATTCTTGAAAAATGAAACCTTTTAAATGATGCACGACAATTTAAGATTCTTTCAAAACAAAAAAAGATAAAAAAATAGAATCTTTTAGTTATTGGTCTGGAGAAAAACAAAACAAATCCGAAAATATTTGTATCAATTTAAAATATCTTGACAAGAACTAAAAATGAACTCTTTATTTAAGAAATCAGCGTTTAGCGACCATTAGCTGTTTACAACAGAAATATTTACAAAAACTGTAAAACTGTTTATGAAAATTTAACTTTTTTTACAAAAAATTGTCCAACAATGAGAACAAATTCTGTTTCCAAATAATTGACCAAAAAAATGTTATATAAAAATAGCAATTCAAGTAATAGTAGTTAAATATAAAAGAAAAAAATGAGATTGTTATGTGTTATGTGACCTTATTAAAACTTATCTATTTTAATTTATGAACAACGATTTTTACTTATTTTATTTGTTAAATATTTCCTTTTTTGTTTGCTTATTAGTTTTAATAATAAAATTTAAGGAAAAAAACAACGTTTTAACATTTAATGAAAATATGTTGTTGGACCTTTAAGAAAAATCCTGCCCAACTTGATACAAAATGAGAATAAATCATCAATTAAATGGAAGCCGAGATTTTTACGAAGTGACGCAGTTCTTATACATTACCGAAATAAAAGCGGATGTTAAAGTTATGCAGATATGCGTGGAGAATATAAACGAAGCTATATAAAACTTCCACAACCGACACTTAGATATTGCTTATGATACTAGTTATTTATCGCTGTTAAAATTCGAAACTTTTTAATAATAATAACAATACTAGAATGTTTATTTTACTAAAATTAATAAACTATTACTAGTTTGCTAAAGTTAGTACCATATAGAAAACAAAGTTTACTTGACGATGGCAAGCTAACAGATATTTTAATTAGTTTAGCCAAAATGATTTCCCACAACTATATGGTGACGTCGGTTCAGTTAATTTACCCACAATTAAATACCACGAAATTGTATGGAATTTATCTTTAAACGCAGAGATGGCATTACGAAAACGTTCCCATACAGGAGAGGTAAAAAAAGAAAAAGAAAAACTACTTTAAAAAATAGATTAGTAGAGCTGTAACAGTTATATAATACAAAAAAGCAATAAATGTATGTTTGTATGTTTGTGAATTGACTTTAAGTAAAATAACTAAATATGACTGTGAAGTCACTTTTATGTAAACGATTCGAGTAACTTTTTATAAACTAAGGGGTTTAAAAGTCGTACATTAAGACTATTAACGAGCGTTATACTTTCAAGTAGCCTCATTTTAATAAATTACCTCATTACAAAAAGAAAAATGGTAATCGAGGCAGTACATGCTGAATACTATTATTTTGCAAATTAATTTGACATTCTTGTGACAAAAGCTGTTTGATTAGTACTCAAAACTAAAAATTAAAAGAATTAACTTGTCCTAAGTTTTTTGTACTTTACACCTTAGACAGCATTTCGTTATAAAATTACAGATAAAGTATAAAAATATAATAAAATTTTTAAATAATGACCGGTAATGAGACACAAAAGAACGCGAAGACTTGTAGAAGTTCGTCTTGTCGTCAAGAATTGCTAAAATGATAAGATTTCTCTAGTTAATTAAAGTTTTAAAAGATAAACAGGTTTTAAACAAGTTTTTTTTTTTTATATACTGAAGATTCCGCTCATAAATATAAATAGGGGAAATACTAAAAATTATTGAAAGTATAAATAATTAATAGTTAAAATTATGCCTTAGAGCTTTTGTTTAAAAGAGTTGTATTTGGATTGTTAAATAAAGTCCCGAGAAAAATATTTTGAAACTATTTTGTTTCATAAAAAGTTATCTGCGAAAAGTCATTATTTACCAAAAGACATAATTTAAAAGTCATAATTTACTATAATTTATTTGAAAAAAGTAGCTACTTAATAAAATTATCATCACGCAAAATGTACATTTTTCGAAATAAAATTATTGTCAAATAATATATATTTATAATATAATATAATAAAAATAGAATTTTTTTTTATCTTTTGACAAATGCAAATCATAAAAGGAAAGAGAGAAAGAATTGATTTTACATTAGAAAATAAAAAAATGAATGTTATAATGATTACGTTGATATACATTTGGTGAATCCATATTTCTTAATGTAGATTTTTTTCTCATTGCTGACTATTTTTTTCATATTGCTGAGTATTTTTTCCACATTTTTAAGTATCTTATTAAAGAAAGGACATTTGGGCACATTATGTGTGGATTAGTAGCTTTCTGCAAAACGTGGCTCATTTGGAAAATTACTGAGAAAATTTGACACAATCTAACTTTTGGGTTGTGTGTTGAATGACTTACGATAATCAAGGGAAGCAAATGGGAATAATATTTTTTGGGTTAATTAACTCATAAACTATTTTTTTTAAATAAAACTTTAAATAATCATATTGAATATAGAAGCCAACAATACGTAATATTTATGGATTTTTTTAAAAAATAATAACTTATCACAAAATATTATTAAATTTTAATCCTAAATTCTTCCTAAATTTCTTCCTAATTCTTGCTAAATTTATTTAGTTTTTAATTTAAAAACTCAACAAATTTAGGAAAAGTTCATAAAGTTTATTAATGTTTTCATTGTAATGTTTATAGCAAGTATTCTTATAAAAGTTTTAGATAAATGAATAAAAAATTAAAATTTGCTTTACACGCTATTTTTTATATTATTATTTAATTTTTCTCTTTTAAAAAATTTTCATTGCTTTATATCGTATTGAGTGCAGAATTGACAGTTCTATTTATGTCTTACATCCGTGTTACCAACATAGCGGTAATTATATGACTCTAAAGTATATTAGATTGAAATTTAAAGAGCAATTGCCTTGCTGAGCAAAAGACTTGCTGAAAGATTTCTTTATTTTTACTACTTTTGCTCAAGTATTAAAACATTGCCCACGGGGAAAAAATGACATTTATATTCAATATATATATATATATATATATATATATATATATATATATATATATATATATATATATATATATATATATATATATTTATATATATATATAAATGATATTTATAGTCTTAGCATCCGGAGCAGCATATCGTCATATCAGCATATCCTTGCACCTCCATCTCAGCTCCTACATATACACAGCTCCGTAACTGTTTTTTTTAGGTGTTTTCTTCGCCAGACGAAGGTTACTTGTATTGTTTCTTCATTATTTAATTATTTTATAAATATAGATATTTTTGTTAGTTTATTTTAAAAATTTCGAAAATTTTTAAAGTAAACTTGTTTTTAAAAATTTAAAAATATATTTTTAAAGGTAATAAAAAAATTGTTTATTGAATTTGCAGAAAACAGACGTAAAAAGAAAAAAATATTATATGGAAAAAATAGAAATAATTCTAATATTTACGATATTAAATATTTAATAGCTTTCTGATTCAATAAACATTGTCGTAATTTTATTTTATAATTAGTTAATGGAACTAAAATGAATACTGACTTAGTATTAGTTATTAAAAAAAAACTAATAGCAATATAGTTAATAAAGCAATGGGCATTTATACTTATATATTTATAGTTAGAGCCCCTGGCCCCGCAAATTTAGCGGCCCCCAAAAAATTTAGAGGACTTTTTTTTTTTTTAGTCATTTTTAGGCTCTGGCCCATAACAAGGCCTCCAAAAATAAAAATAGTTCCGGGCCCCAAGATGTCTTAATCCGCCACTGCTAAGGGGAGAGTAGGGAGAAATGGGATGTCGAAAAAGTGGGACAATCGAATAATTCTAGTTAGAAGCCTTGCCTAATAACCGTTATTAAAAAAAAACAAATTGATTTTTTGCCCACTTTTTAGCTGACAAAGTCTTGTCTGTTTGTTTATGTTATAGAAACCTCTTTCGAAAGTAACTCTTTAAAGTATTTTTTGCTTTAATAACTCATGTAAGTAAATTGTTCTATCTTTAAAATAAGAATAAGATAAATGTAAAATAAAAGAGTAATACAATTAGGGATCGCTACTTTACCGTATACTTGGTACACTAAAAGTTATACCTATTTATTTTTGTGTGTGAATTTTTTTCGTTCCGACTTTATAATTTAATAATTAATTAATTATTATTATATCTTTTAAACGAATTAAATTGCTACACCATGTTTATTGTATGACTTATCATGATTAAAATGTTTTTATTATTAATTTTGAATGCAGCAAGATATAACAATCCATTATCAAATGATTGCTGATTTTGATCAAAGACTTCAACTTTTTTTTTTTTTTATTTATCTAGTGAGAATCTGTAACAAATGGTTAATAGTATAATAATACAATTAACAACGATAAATTAAAAACAAATATATTTGTTTTAAGGTGAGTTGGAAACTCGTCCGTTTTTTTATGGGAACGGAATAGGAACGGGAAAAATAATCACGTGAGCATGCGTAGTTTTTCTTCGGACATATTAAAACTTATACTACGCATGCCCACGTGATTATTTTTCCCGATCCCGTGAAAAAACGGATGAGTGAAAACTCGCCTTTACGTAATCCGTTAAAACTGTTTTACAAATTTGTATTGCAGTTTCACCAAAAAAAATATGTTTACGGTATATTTGACTGTATAGCATATGGTAAATTGTATACTAAACTTTTAATATACCGTATACAAGCAATCCTTAAATGAATCGCTAACTTGGAAAAGGGGACATGTCCTGCAAAAATTTACAAGTTTACCTCCTTTTTCAAGTTAGCAACTCAAATATAATTGAATTATTGTACGTTTGTTTAAAACACTTTCTGCACTGTACAATCTACTAATACTTTTAAAAAATTTTAATGCATATGTTTGCAATGTGTTTTTTCGAAATAAGATTTTTATGTATAGACATTTGTATTGGAATTAGGAAAAAATACATTTAAAGTTAAAAGTAAGTTACAGTTGGGTTTTTTTTTATTGTATATTATCAATAACAAATAAAGGTATAGACAAATGAGCTAATTAAGCTAACACAAATATTGTTCATTTCTTGTTAGTAACAGTTGATAAAACACAGAAATGGAAATGGAAGATTAAATTTAATATTTTTGGTTGCATCTTTTGCATCAGCAAATTAAGTCCAATTGATGTTTGACTTTGAGCTTGTCTTAAACAAGCACGCCAAAGTCATAATTAGTGGAAATGACTTGTAGTTGATGATTAGTATTATCTTCTTTTGCCATTATGTAGTTCTGTATGGATTTGTTTACTTTTTTGCTTACATGCATCACTTTACACTTGTCTGTGTTGAACAGCAAGAGCCATTTTTTTCTGACCACTCTTTATAGATGTTTTTTTGCAAGAAAACAGCATCTTCGTTCGATTTAATAACTTCCATAATTTAAAAATTATCAGCTTATACTCATGGTCATTGATAATAACTGAGAGATCGTTAATAAAGAGAACAAAGAGTGGTGGGTAAAAAATTGAACCTTTCAATCGGATTCGTGGTAACCACTTACTATCGTCTATTGGTGAGCAATTGATTAATGACCCACTAATGCTTTCAGTTTATACTCAAAGTTAAGTTTTACTAAACGCAGTGTAAATCACGTCGATAGCTTCACCTTGTTGAACATCTTCAGCTAAGATAATTTTTGCATAAAGTAAATTTGTGACGGAGCCTCTTTTGTTCATAAAACCATGTTGTTCTTTAGTGATAAGGCCTTTTTTATTGCAGAATTTCATAATTTGATTGTTTATGATGATCTTGAGGACTTTTCAGGATTTAAATGGAACGACTACCGTCCGTTCCAATTAAATCATTTTAGTTCTGAACCCTTTCTCGAACCGTTTTGGTTCTGAACCCTTTCTCAAAAAAATTCATGTCAAAGGAAATGTGAAACAAAACTTCAAAAAAATCCAACGTAGGCAAAATAAAACAACTTGTTTTACTGATGGAATGGTACAGCTTATTTTTTAGTTGAACTATTGTTATCTCGAAATTATTTTTTTTCGTAAGACTTTATAGTTGATAACTCAGTTATTTACAGCACCCTTACACCTGCAACTTTTACAGCACCTACCCGCAACTTTTAAATTTTAAAATCTGAGAAATTTTAGAAAGTTTTTTTATCCTTTTAGTTTTTATATCATTCAGACGTCAGGTACAAAATTGATACCATTCCCTTAGAAGTTACAAACACACTTATAGTAAAAAAAAAGTATCCTTAAATAAATGCAATTTTTAACATACTAATTACATGCATTTTTAAAAAAGATTTATTGAAATGAAATTATTAAAAAAAACAACACAAAAAACATCAAAAAACACACATAAAAATTAAAACAAAATAAAAACAGCAACAACATGTACATCGTTTACACAAAAAAAGTTTAACATGGGTTAATCTTCATCTTCCGAAACACGTAAGCTAAAATCTAAAGTTGAGTAGTCGCATATATTGCTATTTTCGCTTAATGAACAATCTTCATCTACTTTTTTGTGATTTAATTCTTCTTTTTCCGTTTTTTCGATTTGTTCTTCACATGAAGTCAATGGTACATGATTATTTTCATGTTCGCTATCAGATGTCTAATACAAAATGAATGAAAAACACAGTTAAACGAAAAAAAATAAATTATATTAATAATAAGTACAAAAAGTAACAAAATCAATTTATTAAGATTTAAGCACTTTATAAAGCTGATTAAAGAGGTTTAACATGAAAACATAATATTATACTTTATAATATTGTATACACTTTTAAGCTTTTAAACATAAGAATTTAGAATTTTAAGATTTAAGGTAATGCATCCCGGAATTTTCTAATTAAATGTGTTGAAGAGGCAATACAGCAATAAAAATTATGTTTTTTGTAATTCCTTTAATAAAACTAAATTAATAAGAAAAGAAAGTGGCAAATAAAAGGTATGAAGGATATGAGGTGGCATAGATATAAAGAATAGCTCCATAATCAGTAATATAGAAATAATAGGTATGAAGAATGGCTTCATGATCAGTAACATAGAAACAAATATGAAGTATGATTCCATGATCAGTAACATAGAAATAATAGGTATGAAGGATAGCTCCATGATCAGCAACGTAGAAATAGTAGGAAGAAGAAAAATTTCGAAGCATTGCTACAGAATACTCTTAAGAAAACATTTAAAATCAGCAGTTGGAATTCATTGTCCGAGAGGAACCATAAAGATTGCAAGGTATTGGCTGGTGATTGTTTAGTGTTAAACAACCACCAGGTGGCTGTTTAGAGTTAACATTAAAAACTGCTTTAATTATAATGAAGTTTGTGTAACATTTATACAGACACTTAACCAATACACCTATGTAGAGAAGCTAGAGAACTGATCGTTCCATCAGTACATATGTTTATTGATCAAAATGAATGGCGGCAGATTTAACAAGATATAGCGTCTTGCCACACAACTTATACATTCAAAACACAAAAAGATAAAAATAATTAAAAAAAAAATAAAAAGACCAAAGAAAACAATATAGCTATATTGCAGCTCAATCACCAGATTGGAATCCAATCAAATCTGTTGAAACAGTTAAAAAAAGACTTCAGGAAAGTCTTCTATCAACTGTTTCCTTCTGACAATTGACAATAGTCAGAAATACATAAAGATGGGAGAGATCCAAAGGGTTGAAGTGCAGCGAATCTATATAAATAACAGTATTCCAACAGTGTTCCATACAGGGACAAATAAGAGATTTGTAGAGGTGAAGAATGGAACCAGGAGTAAGAAAATAAAGAGCACAATAAAGAGAATCAAACTTAGCAGGAGCTAAAAAAGAAAGAAATTCTATAGTAATTTATTATGAAAAAAAAACTTTTATATAAAAATAAGTAACTAAATAAATTTTTTAGTAATCTATAATAAAAAAAAATTCTATAATTTGATGAAAAAAATAATTTTTGGCTTTCTTATCAATATTCTGCAATGATGTCATATACTAAAACTCTTTGGAATTAAAGGCACTTTAATAAATTATAAAGTCTGTATATTATGACATATATTTTAAAAATTTAAAGTAATTGCTAATATGGAGATAACGAGCTTCGTGTAAAACAACAAAGTTTTTCTCGGTATACATTTATTATTTTGTTTTACTCAAAAAAATCGATTTAGCAATCGATAGTATATATGGTTTCCATAAAAAGTCAGAAGGAAACAATAATCAAAGAAGACATAAAGAAGAGGACTCAGTTAAAGAGTTGCCATTTATTATTGTAGGAATGTCGAAAGTATTGCAATAGTTGCTTGCAATAAATAACTGAGTTTTGTTGGAATTAAAATTCGCAAGCCATTGCAAGCCCCAATTTGCTACAGGATTGAGATCAGATTCAAAATCAACTGCCTGTTCTAAGCATTCAAAAAGAGTCGAAAAGACTATTTGTCAAGACATAGTATAAAGTTGAGTCATCAGCAAAAAGAGTTACTTTAGATGTAAAAAAGATTATCAATGTAGATAAAAAACAAAACAAAACTATAGATAGAACCTTGAGGTACCCCAAAAGTTACAGGAAACAAAGAAGGATTGGTCTGCAATGATGACTTTAATAGCAGTTAGAAAGAAAAGATTTTATAAACTTTCCCAGATACACCATATAAAACAAGCTTATGGAGAAGACTGCCATGGCAAATTATGTTAAAAGCTTTAAATATGTTAAGAGCAATGAAGAACAAAAGAGCAAAGAAGAAGTATAAGATGAAAGATTTATAGAGATCATTGCATGACCAGAATCACTTAAAATGAAAAAAAAGAAAAAATGAACACAAGCTAGGGTAAGAGACAAAACACAAATCAATAGTTAGTTAGGAAAATGAGTTAACTATCTGAGTATTTAGGTGAAAGTAGGTTTAGATGAAAGCAGATTTAGGTGAAAGTAGGTTTTATAGTTAGAGTCACTAGTTAGTTATTGAGCTCACACTGCATCAAAAATTTAAACAGAAAAGAGATTTAAACATACATAAAACAACGTGCCAGAGGTTTAGACAGAACACAAACATACAAATAAAGTAATTTACAGCGAGCTAACACAGTAACTAAGGGACAGTTAACACATTAACTAAGGGACCTCCAATTATATAAATGACACACAAAAAATGAAAAATAAAAAAAATTAACTAAAAAAAATTATTTCTATAAGCATGACAGATATTAAATAGTATTGATGACAGAAAGTACACTTCTTCGAGCCTTTCCTTAAAAAACGAATCCCAAATTTAAAATAAATTAAAATAATCCAAACAATTCAGGAAAGTCAATTAACACTAACTTAAATTATTTTGTCAACTTTTTGATATTATTGTTTGTTGTTTCATTTTGCTTGTTTTTAATTTTTTCTTAATGCTGTGTATTTTAATTTGATTGATAAATCTCAAAATCTTGCACCCCATCTGTGAAATAAATAGTATTACCAAATTTTTATCATTTTTTTACTCTTCCTGTTTTTAAAACTAAATTTAAAAATATTTTCTCTATGGACAGCATTCTAAAAATCTACTTAAAACATATCTAAAATGTATTTGTTAAATATTCAGCATATTATATATTAAAATGTTTGTATGTTGTATCTTTGCATTATGTTAAATCTTCAATATATCTTTATATTACAAACAAATATGTTTAACTTTTAAGGTTCTGATGATAGGATCCTTATGATCTTCTTTCCCAAACCTAGTATAATATTGTTAATACACTGAATTGTTTATTTTTTAAACGATTTTTATATTATTACGTATCATGACTATCATTGCAAACTCAAAAACAAATTACTAAAATAAACAACAAAAACAAATTTGTTTTTGTAATTTTGACTTTCATATTACTTTAAATATTATGAATTGTAGTATTTTTTTACGTTACACTTTTGTATACAGACACATGCATAATTTTTAGCTAAAAGCATATGAAGAGTATTTAAAAAAAAAAGCTTGATGAGTTGACGCAAAAAAAAAAGGATTAGAAAAGAAAAAAGAGACTTAAAAGAAAAAATGATCCGAGTTCATTAGATTAGATAGAACCAAATTAATTAGTATGAGTAATTTATAAGTGTGAAAAACTTTCTTTTAGTAAACTTTATTCTTTTTATTTTTAAACTTTCTTTTATAGATCTAATTACAGTATATCAATCCTGTACATTTAATTTATACGTCAGTAATAAAAATTTTATAATGCAAAATTTTTTTATGTATAATCTAAGATGTTTCAAAGAATTTGGCCATAGTAGCAAATGTTTCAGAGGATTTGGCCATAGTAGAAGATGTTTCAGAGGATTTGGCAATAGCAGAAGATAAAAAGAGCATAATAAAAACCTTAACTATTGAAACCACAAGAACTAATTAATGTAAAGTATTCATTTGATCAAACATGTTGTAATGTTTTATTTGGTTTAAACAGTCATAGCAGCAAGTAGCCCTACTAGCAATTTGTGTAGCTGCACTGTAGCTGCGAAGTAGCACTGAGGTAACATACTGTAGCGGGTACGCAGCAAATGACCGTCACGGTCACATTGCCACTACATAGCATAAGAATGCGTGAAAATTCTCAATGTGCGGTAAAGCATAGTGTAACTTTATTTATTACAACCTTTTATTTACTTTCACAAGTTAAATTTTATTGGTCCTGGAATCTTGCAATTAATTCTTAACTAACTTAAGTTAAACAGTGTAGCTAGAGTTTTTAAACTTTTAGCATTTGTGCTGTACCGATGACATCGCCTGATAAATTTTTTGAATTAAAACTTTTAATTTTATTGAATAAGTTTTTTTGCAATTCAGCAAAATTTAATTTTTGAAATTAAAATTTAATGACCATTTTGAAAAGATTTTTACAAAAACCAGCAAAGTACCAGTTATGTGTGTGCACCCTAACAGCTATACTAATATTTGTTCCCTCACTGATACGTATCTCTGGTATAAAAGGGATAGTGCACTTGAGAGTAGAAAAATTATAATTTTAAGTTCAATTGATATCATCTTATTTCTCCTCCAGAATTATATTTTTTATTGGTTTTACTCCTGTGTTTCTAAATCATTTATTAATTACTATGCAGCCCAGTTTTGATAAGCTCCTAAGCCAAACTATATTATGTTTAGAGGTTACTATGGAATAGGGTTGGATGGTTCCAAACAGATTAAAAAAACTGTGATTGAATTTTGTACAAAAAAATTTAAAGTAGTCGTTTCCTCTTTTTTTTCTTCAATTTTCATCTACTTATTATTATAAGGGAGGTGGGGGGAAGGAAGGAGAGGGGGGGGGGGAGGGAGGGGTAGAAGCTGACAAGTTTTTCTAACTAAAAAAAAAAGTCTTATTTTGCTGACTGAAGGTACAAAAAAATTCCAAATTTGATCACTAATTTTCATGTTCGCAAACATTCATCAAAGATAGAAAAAGGAGGGTGGGTGGGGGTTGTGGGTGGGGGTTGTGGGGTAGTTTTTGTTTCAAATTTTATTAAAGGGAGAGAAGGGCGGGCGTGGTGGTGGTGGTTAATTTTTATTTTATTTTGATAACACATTTCTCAATAATGTTTTCAGAAAAGAAAAAATTTCAAATAAAAAGATGTAAGTGTTTATAGAAAATTAACCACACAAATTAATCATTTACATCTTATCTTAACACGAATAAAGCATTTTCAAAACGCTGACTCTAAATGTTTGTTCACATAATAATTTATTAAAAAAAGAAAAAATTCTGATTAAGCGGAAGTTTTAAACAATAATATGTTCTCTGATTGCTACGTATTAATAATGCTAAGAAAAATAATTAATGCAAACAAAGACAAATTTTAGAGGCATAAAGTTCAACAAAACACCTGTTTTTCAATGTTAAATTTATTATTAAAAATATTAAACTTTTTAATTGCAATTAAAATTGTGTCAGGATGGCCGAGTGGTCTAAGGCGCTGCGTTCAGGTCGCAGTCTACTCTTGTAGGCGTGGGTTCAAATCCCACTTCTGACAATTTACACTTTTTATAATCAATATGTTTTATTTAAGGCTTTAGGTCAATTGTTTTTTATATAAATGTGCCATTCAATTTATATAGCACATTATGTGTCATAACATATGACATCTCTATTAAAACTTTAATTGTACAGTTAAGATTTCATTTTAGAAGTTAAAGCGTTCGTCGACCCGTAAGTTAATTATTGGGCATTAATAAGTACTACTAAAACTTAATACATCAATTTAAATTACTTGGGGGTTGGAGAAGTTCTTATTTCTCTGAGCCAGTTTCTTTATTTATTGCTATGTGTCTCTGATTCAAATTCACTCTGAAATCAAGTGTATTTTGTTACAGGCTTGCTAACAGTATTCCGCTAATAAAAAATTTTATTCATCCGCACTTACTATATATATTTAGTTACTATATAAACCTATTTTAATTTAAATTAATTAAATTATATTTCCCGTGAAAGAATTAACGGACAAATGTTTTTGCTATTTTCAGTGAAAATGGCGTAACTCAAATGTCACGTTTTTTTAAGTAATTATGTTTAACCTGTTTTATTTCTGCATGGTGTTACGTTTTATGTGCTTTCCATGTTTTATTTTAGAGAACAGTGTTTGGTTCAGATTGTTTTTTTTTTTTAAATTTTAAATGAACTTTTAAAATGAAATTTTAAATTTGAAGTGAACGTCATTTTATGTGTAGTAATCATCATTGTTGTATATTTTGTATATATGTTTTTATTCTTTGAAGTTTAATAGCACCCCCTCCCATCGTTTCTTATAAACAAGTTATATATATATATATATATATATATATATATATATATATATATATATATATATATATATATATATATATATATATATATATATATATATATATATATATATATATGTGTAAATATAGTAATTTAAGTATAAATTATATATAGTTATATATTTACATCATTTTGTAACATTAGTTATAAAATATATCTCGGCGGGAAATGGGCTAGCGAATGGCTAACTATAATTGTAACAATAAAGACAGCGATTTAGCCACGAAGACTGCTAGCTTCTTCAAGTTAGCAAAATGCTATCAATATTTTGAAAGATAAAGACAGCGATATGGCTACGAGAACAGCTAGCTTAATAAGCTAAAGACCCATTGGCTATTGTAGCCAGCGTCATATCGTATTAAAATTGCTGTCCGGGAAGTTTTGATGTAGCTATCCGGAAAGTTTTGATGTAGCTATCGACCAGCTATAGATTTGTAGATATTTTGTAGCTAGCTACAAAGCTACAATACGTAGCTAGCAACACATTGCTACGAAATCGCAATGTTTAAAGTTCAATTATTCTCATGCTTATAATAGGCTCAACACTAAAAATCTCTTTATTAAAGATTTTTTAAAGACATCAGGAAAAAATAAAATAAGAAAAAAAAAATCGCTTGAAAATTGCTATATAGCTAGCTAGTCGCTAGCTCATTTCCCAACGCGATAACATATGAATCGATGTATACAAAAACGTTTTCACAAAAACTATTTTTTCGGGAAACGAGAAAAAACGTATTAGACCCAAAATTATTACTTTAATAAATTCAAAAAAAAATCTTTCAGATCTCTATTCAACGTGTTCGAAAAGATTTGACTTGGAATGTTTTACTATACAATGGTGGAACTGTCTTCAAAGAACCAAATTTTCATTAAAAAGCAAATATTAAAAAAAAATGACTTAAAACGTTTTTGTATACCAATGTATTTGATTCATATAATGAAACTTATTCTGTTACGTTCAGATTGTGAAACGCTCATTTCACGAAATGTGCAACTTGATTGTTGTTTATTTTAAACATATTATGCGTTTATTCAAATATATTCTGCGCTATAAATAATATTTATTACGCAGAAAATATATAATTATAAAAATTATAAATAAAAAAATTAAATAAATACACGTCGAAAGAAAGTTTAAATTGACATTAAAAAAACTTACGTTACTTCAGTAAGTCAGGATGGCCGAGTGGTCTAAGGCGCTGCGTTCAGGTCGCAGTCTACTCTTGTAGGCGTGGGTTCAAATCCCACTTCTGACATTTTTTACTATCTTAAAACGTCAAATCGCTTTGCAAACAAAGTAATAATTTAGAATGATGACAAATCCATTAAAAAAAAAAAATAAGCAAATGGTCATGTACTAGAAAGTTTCTTTTTTTAAGAGTTTTTTTTTTTTTTTTCCAATTTAGAACTAAAAATTTTTTAAAGGTTTGTTATGAAAAAAATGTTTTGAAAATTTTATAATAAATATTTATTAGCTTGTTGTGTCTTTGTTTTATATCTGATGACGGTCTGAACTAATCAAAATATTTCAAAAATACAAAAAATAACAATTAGCTGTTAATTATGTTGTTATAACTTTCTTTTAATTTTCAAATTTTAACAAGTATTTTTATATACCAAAAAATATAACACAATTTTTAAAATATACTTGAATATTTATTTGTAAGTCGTCACCTCCGACTCTAAAGACTAGCGACTTTATGGCTCCGCAAGCATGCTAATTTTTGAGCTGGATTAGCTTAAGCAGTGTTAATGTGACGCAAATCTCCTGGCGTTAAATAATTTCATTATATAAACATGTATATAAGTAAAATACTTAGCTTATATAGATGTTTGTATAATTCCAATTTTGCTAGCTTAAGTATAGAATTCTCGTTCACTTGTTTTAGGTGTAAAAATAACTGATATTGTTTTGCTGTTGTTTAACCTTTTTTCGTTAATATATACATACACAAAGTCCTTGGATCCCGTGAAATAGCTTATGTTTTACTTTTTAGTTAGAAATAGCTTATGTTTTACTTTTTAAAATGTTGTTTTTAAAAAGTTATATATATATATATATATATATATATATATATATATATATATATATATATATATATATATATATACATATATATTATTCAACAGCGATTCTATTTATTTTCGCTTAAACAAAACGATTTTTTATATTTACGCTAAACTATTACCGCTGACCTTGTGTTTGTTTTGCGCGGACAGCAAAAAAAGAAAAATAAACAAACCGACAAGAAAGCAAGTTAAATAAAAAGTTGTAATAAATAAATAAAAAAGAAAAATTAAATCTATTATACGATTAAGTAAATATACGATACTAAATTGTGATGTCATCAATCTTAATCTTATCAAAACTGGTGACACAACAGCTACTAAGATTGACGACACCACAAATTGATGATGCCACAGTTACAAGGAATAATGATGTCACAGTAATTAAGATTGATGATGTCACAGTTATTAAGATTGATGAGCAGAACAAAAAATTAGCAAATTTAGAAATACAACATTATAAAAATATTAACATCAAATCAAGTTCGGTTTAAATCATGGCGCTCTTTACTAAAGGCCTATTCATAGCGCAACCGTAAGCCGTGACTGGGGGCCTATTTTAATTTTCTAAAAATTGCGAAAATGAAAAGCTTGCTAGAGAATTTTTAATTTTTTCAAACTAATCTCGCTTATTCTTTTATATTTCCAATAACTTTGCATTTTTAATGTTTTTTAAATCATAAATTTTTGTAAATAATTTAAAAACACTGAATTTTTACTTACTTGTTAACTCCTAAGAGTGTTAGGAGTTGTATATATATATATATATATATATATATATATATATATATATATATATATATATATATATATATATATATATATATATATATATATATATATATATATATATATATAGGGTAGGGTAGGGCAAAATGCCCCCCTTAACAAACTTTATCGTATATAATAAAAACTTTTACATTTTCTTGTGTTTTTTCTTTTTAATATTAAAGTTTACTTATAGGAGAAGAAGACATTGGTAAGATAAAATAACTACTTTGTTACTGTTGATAAACTTTAAAATCAAAAAAAAAAAAACTTGTGCCAGAAGACATCTTGCCCCAGTGGGATTCTATGGATTTAAAGAAAGAAAGCTTTTCACGCGTTATTCCCCAAACCATTAAAACAGTTGTTAAAACTAACTTAAAGTTCTTAAAAATAAAAGCCCTTATTAGTTTTTTTTACATTTTATTAAAACAACTGAAATATTAACACTGCAAATAAATACTATGCAATTGTTCTATACAATTGTCTTGAGGATAATAACTTCTTTTTTAATTATTAGCAATAAATAACTAAAATAAATGTTCTAATAACGATGTATATACATGACTATGATTCACAGTAGTAGCATAAGTCTGAATCATCTGGACCACACGAAGAGTGGTACCAAGATGTACATTTAGTACATTGTGTCCAATCATCAAATGGGAGCACATTATAAGCACAAGAGCATATGATGCATAAAGTAGTATCAGTAATAAAACATTGAGAGGCTTTCTGCTTTTTAGACTTCTTTGGTTTTTTTGTCCTCAAATTTATTGATTTCTTTTTTTGCTTGATTACCTTATTAAGTGCAGCTTTTTCTTTACGCAATATTGCTTCTTGTTGCTTTTCTTTTACATTGTTTTCATGTTCTTCTAATCTCTTCTTGAAAGGCGAAGAAGTAAGATTTTTAGCTGATTCTGTCTTTCTTTTACGCTGTCTTAATACAGTAATTTTAGGACGCGGGGAAATCTTTTCCAAAATATTAGGGGCGGATTAAGGCCAAGATGCTCATCAACAACTGGCAAAACTGCATCATTTAATTGTGCTGGTTCTTTCGTAACAGTCTTCATTTTTGAGGCAACTGTTGCTGTGCTTATGACAACTGGCAACTGTATAGGTGCAACAAGAGGTATACTAGGCAAATCACTTGATTGCTGACAGCTTTCCAATGGTATAACTTCATCAGTGAGCAAAGCTGCATCAAAGGCTTCATCGTTAAAAGTAAGCTCGTTTATTGGGTATAAACCAGAGCATCTAAATCCATTGATTGCTTTGTCAATGTTTGCAGTAAAGTTATAGGCAGTTGTAAAAATACCTGCCATGTCAAAAAATGAAATTCTACGCTTCTGATGCGAT